TTGTCTTGCTCGTTTGGCAAATCCACATGTTCTTGAAAGATTACTGTACTGCACATTATAGTACTGAAATTACTGTACACTATTGTACACAGTTCGCAGTAAAGCCAAGCAAACACGCCGGCCAAGTTCGAGCTTATCTTTTATTCGACTGTCCAGAAAATCTTTTCGTTTCTTTTTGTACTTCCGTTTAAAACTAGCAAATGCACGAATTGAACTACGGTTTCTTTCATTAGAAAAGCCAATTATTTTTCTGCAGAATAACATTAAAACGGGTATAAAGAGTCTTATATCTAGTCCGTTTGTTGGTAAAAACTGTTTGAGAATCTAAATCTATCCTTATTATTCCAAGATTGCTAATATACTTTCAGATTGTTTAAGTAGCTTTCAACTTTCGAATAAAGTAATCAAAGTCATTAATCATTAATCGTTAATCATTAATCATTAATCTTAATCAAAGGCAAACTTTAGTTACAACTCTTGAATGCCGTTTACTTTACCATATTCCCTTTTGAGATTATTTCGGAAGCTGTTTAAGTGAAACGAATCTATTGATGGTTATCTATTTTCTATTGCCTATTACCCTAAGATTGTTGATTGTAAACTTTCAGCTTTTAATTGGTAAACTTAAATGCCGAATTTTGGTATCAAATTGGTATCAATTGGTATCGAAAACTTGCCTACAACTGAGAGTTGGCCGTATGGAGGAGCGGCGGCTTGTAGCCCGATCGCGAACACATACAAGAGGCACTTGGAAAGCATCTAAAAAAATCAAATTCGATTTGCTAAGGATTGAAAAAAAGAAAGATTTCAAATAAAATCGAGAGTTGGAGCTAGCGAAAAATCATTTATCCAAAGATTTCTGACTAAAGAAGGCCAAAATTTGCCTTAAATACCCGGCGCTGGGCACAAAGTTTTTTTCCAAAACTACACAAAATTTGTTTGCTTGAAAGTAAAGCAAAAATTACACGTTGACAAGAAAAAAAAGAGGGAAAAGAAGGAGAAAAGAAGAAGAAAAGAAGAAAAACGAACGACCTCTGATTCTCATTTTATTTTAGAGACAATTTAGAGTCAACTGACCCTCAATTAGCCGATTTCATTTGAAAATGTTTACGCAGCTGTTCGACAGTCAAAAATTTCTAACAATTTTGAAGTTTTCATGTTCAAAAATTGTCTCAAAATGAGAAATTCCTCTAAACGACATCAAAGAATAGTTTTTAAGAAAGAAAAAAAACGATATTAACTCTTTTAATGAGAAAGAATGACATCAAAGAATAGTTTTTAAGAAAGAAAAGATGATATTGAGTCTTTTAATGAGAAAGAATGACTTTAAATTTAAAGAATGACTTTAAAAAGCTCAATTGTGAAAGAAAATCTTTAAAATAGAAAGATAAACTGTAAGTTTTGATAGAAATAAAGATTTTATATTGTAAAGAGTGCTTAAAGCAAATAGACTTTTGTTATTTCTTGGAATCATCTTTTTTGAATCATCTTAAAGTCATTTTAAAGTTTTTTAGAATCATTTTAAAGTTATCTTAAAGTTTCTTAAGGTATCTTAAAGTCTCTTCAAGTCATCTTAAAGCCAAACCAGCTTAAAGCCAAACCAGCTTAAAGCCAAACCAGCTTAAAGCCAAATCAGCTTAAAGCCAAATCATCTTAGAGCCAAACCAGCTTAAAGCCAAATCATCTTAAAGCCAAACCAGCTTAAAGCCAAACCAGCTTAAAGCCAAACCAGCTTAAAGCCAAATCATCCTAAAGCCAAATCATCCTAAAGCCAAATCATCTTAAAGCCAAATCAGCTTAAAGCCAAATCATCTTAAAGCCAAATCAGCTTAAAGCCAAATCATCTTAAAAGCTTTTAGATGTTTAAGTTAGATCTAGACTTGTATTATTTAGTTACAACTCTTGAATGCCGTTGAAATCATCTTTTTGCTCACCTTTTTTTTCGGGAAATCACTTTTATTGAGAGATCATCAATTTTCAAACTCTCTCCCTCTCTGATAACAGATAATGAATCAATTTCAAACAAGCATTTTGCTATTAGTCATCTAACTGTTTGCTCGTTTTGTTTGTAAAATGACAAGAAAAGCTTAACTGGCAACAAAAATAGAATAAAAGAATTGTTATTTGTGACATTCAGATATGAGATATAGTTTTATTTTTTGATACCTTAGACTTTTCAGGTTGCTCGTGATCGGATTAGTAAAGCCGATGTTGTGGACAAACGGGAGAGGAAAAGTGGTGATCCAATTCAAGAACAATCACGTGAAAATGAAAAAACTGGAGTAAATCAAGCGATTTAAGTTTAATTTTCGTTTATAAATGCTGATGATGCCAATAAAAGAGACTTTGAAGGCTTTGTCTTGTATTGTCTTGAGAGTTTTCATAAAAACCGCATAAATATCAATAAAACCGCCCTAAAATATCATTCAAAATAATCAAGAGTTGGGATCATTTCATGGGAAAACTTTGTTTTTACAATAATTTTTCTTTTTTGTGAAAAAGCCGGGTTTTTTTTGACAATTTTGAGGGTTTTGAACTTACGCTCTATCTAAATTTCTGTAAATGCATTTCCGTTTGACTTTTTTAATGAATTGATATACAGTTATCCTTTTTTTTTAAATCTTCAATTTTAGGAAGCTAACTCTATTTTAAACACACTAAAATTGTCCCTAAAGTCGATTCTTTTTTTTTGGTCACTTACACTTCGCCCTCGAAATTTCTTCAATGGTTCGATCAATTGAAACACGTTTTAGCCTATTTTGTAGAGGAGATTTACAACTTTCAAATAGTTTATAACATTCAAATAGTTTAGTTCAACTATTTAGTTCAAATAGTATATAACATTCATCGATTTCGAGGTTTCTATCGTTGGAAATTTATGAAAATGTTGAAATCCGCATTTCTTATCCATGTACCTAATATATTTAAAAAAAAATCAAAACGAAATCACTGGAGATGAAGTGACCAGACACACAAACTTTACGGCTTATAACATTCTTTATGTCAAATTATTTTTTGGAGGGGGGGTGTAAGAAATATATGTTGATGTTTTGATCTATATAATTTCTTTTGAGACCGTGTCTCGGTGTGGTTCAATAGTGGTCTTCTTGAAAACGCACAATTTATCCAACTTTCCCTTATTAGGGCAACTTCGCTTAAACTGGAGCAACTTGGCACTATCACAATTAAATCAACACTTGAATGTGAAAACAGGATGATCAAAAAGCCAAAAAATGGAGAAGACAAAAGAACTCACTCAAAAAACAAAGCTTAAATAACCGGTTTTTACGTATACAAGCTACAACAAACGGACAGCTGAATATCGTCTAGTGACTGATTACGGTAGTTTATCCATCAACTTTGAATGTTAACTTGTATTGAATTTTTTGGGTCTATCCCAAAACAGCGCCGCCAAAACAGCGCCGACCAAAACAGCGCCGACCAAAACAGTGCCGCCAAAACAAGGCCGACCAAAACAGCGCCAATGCAAAAACGCCCAAAACAGCGACGAGTAAAAAACATTATTTTATAGATTTTTTTCTTTTGCTTTTTCTTTGCTGTTTTTAACTTTTTCTGTCCACTTTTTGTGTTTTTAGGGTAAAAAAAAAGGCGGAGAATCCGATTTTTTAAAGCCTTTACCCATAGAAACCTGCGATAGCGTTTATAAAATTGATTTTAACCAAAAATAACAATTTTTTTCCTTTTACGGCCTGTTTTTTAACGTTTTCATTAACTTTTTATTTCTACTACGGATCACTTGAAAGCTCTAGCCGTTTATGTTCATCATCGCTAGTGTTATGATGTTTCAGAGTCTCTTGGACTATTAATTTCATGCTATTTTAATGTTTTTTATGCATCGTTTAATTGTTATCGTTTATTGTTGTTGGTCATGTTATTTTTAAATAAATTATCAAAATTAATAGCCGCTAATAAAAAAAATGAGTGTACATTGGAAAAGAAAAAAACTGTGTTTTGCATCAGCGCTGTTTTGGGCGTTTTTCATTGGCGCTGTTTTGGGTACGGCGCTATTTTGGGTGGCGCTGTTTTGGGTACGGCGCTGTTTTGGCGGCGCTGTTTTGGTCGGCGCTGTTTTGGCGGCGCTGTTTTGGGATAGACCCAATTTTTTGACTAACTGCAGAGCAGTGGCAATTCGCCACAGGGGGGAGGGCTTAGATGAGAAAATCCTGTTGTGTTTTAAAGTTACGTACCCAAGAGCAACACGAACGAAGTATTATTTCAAATTCAAGGTTGGGATCGACACTCGAACAGGCGTCGAGTTGACACAAGAGGGATTGGATGGGCTAAGGAATACGGAAACAGGGAAACGAGTGGCTGAACGAGATGCCTATCGATATTAAAGTAAAAAGATTACTTTTCAGAATTGTTTGTAATTGGGATCGTAATTGGGATTTTTCTTTGATCAACTGTTTTTCAACAATATTCCATTTAAAGCTTGAAACATTATTATTTATTAAGCTTATTCTAATTATTTCTGATTTCTTTCTATGCATAAAAATATTCAATGAAATCATCCAAGAAGACTAAAACAGCAAATTTCTATACAACTACACTTTTGAACTCAACAATCGGCAATAGAATTTTGTGTGTGCATGTAAACACATCATTTCTGTCAAACTGAATTCAGCTTTTGCTTAAGAAGCCGGTTCATTTACCCAATTTTTCTAAATTCTAGATGAGACGACTTTGTCAAGAAAGATGTCAAGAAAAATGAGGAATTCAGTGCACCAGAAAGAGTGCTTTTACATGAGATCAGAAACTACAAACTACTACAGATTTTAGGTACACTTTGAGCCTTGTAAACGACCCTTTCTGGCACACTGAGATCTTCTCGTGACATCGAATCATTTCCATGAGAAAAGTGAAGGATTCAGTGCATAAGAGCATAAGAAAGAGTGCATAAGAGCATAGAAAGTGCATAAGAGCATAGAAAGAGTGCATAAGAGCATACAAAGAGTGCATAAGAGCACAAAGTACAACTAACACATCAGTTCTATGGTGGAATTCCCTTCGGCATCGGTTGTCACTCGATTGTAAACGATGAATTCTCGGGGTTTCATCAAAAGATAGATTTCATCGGTGAGTTGAAAAGCTCCCTAATAGAAAATGCTAACAATTCGAATTATCAATTTCCCAACCCTGACATTTCGTGGAAACGATCGAAAATCTTTTCCCTGATAAACGGTCACATTGAATGTGATCACATCGAGTTTGAATAAATTGCTGTTTTGCTGAAATGGTATTTTATAGAATGCAATCCTTTACTAGTTTACTACCAGCCTCTATCAAGAACTGGCTTGCTCTGTGATTCAAGCTTGCTAAATGTTAGGAACATTGGTCTGAACTCCTTCCGTATCTGATTAAAACGCAGGCCTGGACTGACCCTTTGTTTTTCTATACTTCTGAATAGTTGACCACATCTAAAACCCTAGTCTACCCTTGTCCGAGCTTAGCATTTGATTAGCTTTGGTCCTTGACCAGTCCAAACTTACATCAACGAGCAAAATCTTTCCATTCGGAGTCTGAATAGCTCCAGTGACATTAGTCGGATAGCCACGCACTAATCGCACATATTCTCTCAAATATTCATTGGAAAATAGACTGAAGAAGTAGATATAAGCATAAGAACCGTTCTGGAAGAGGTATAAGTGTTATTTGATACTCTAGAAAAACCTCAGTTCTCGCGAAAAAGATTACTTTCCTGTTGATTGGCTCAAAAACGATAGCATCAATATTTTGGGGGATTTTGGGGAAAACTTTGTAAATCGGCAAAACCTAAAAGATTCAATACGGTCAATTTTCTAAAATGCACCTATTCTAGAATATTAATCGTAATCAAAGCACTAGTTTCCCTTCTAACAGCTCAATTTTGGTCTCATTGAACTGAGCCGTTTGATTCCTCATCGAATGATACCAAAATTGAGTCTAATCGAATGGAAACTAGCGGGCAGATTACGATACTTTTCTAGAATAAATGTTTTTTAGGAAATGTGCTCTAATCTTCATTAATTTTTCACCTTTTCAATCCTCCAATGATCTAGCTGAAAAAGATGTGCTCCATCAACAATAAATTCCTGGTCTGCTACTGAAACTTTGTTGACTGCCTTGATTTCTTTAAATTTCATTTAGATTTTAAATTTACAATTCCCTTGACATTATCAATATTGAATAAACCTGCAAAGAAATTATCAATTTTTGTTGGGCAAGAAGTCGATGAGAGTTTTCGGCTCAGTGAGAGGGTTTTCCGATCGGATCGGTTCATTGGGGCTTTAGTTGTTTCGGCTCGAGTAGAAGGAGTAGCAATTTTTGTGACTACTGTAGCTGCAGTGGCTGGAATTATATTCACGCTCGAAATGAAACAAGCTTTCTGTTCCAAACGTGTCAAACAGACGTCCGAAACGAAACGGACGTCTGATACGTCCGAAAACTGAACGGAGTTTGTTTTCGTTTAGTTTTGGATATCTAATACATATCTAAAGTTAAAGTTTCATTCACCAAAACCTGCATCTGTAGTAATAGTTGTAGTTGAAGTAATAGTTGTTGCACTTGTTGCACTTGTTGCGCTGATAGCTGGAAGAGTAACACTTGTAGCTGCAGTAGCTGACGTTGTTGTTTGAGTAGTTCTTGTTGTAGGTGTTGTTGTAGGTGTTGTTGTGGCTGTTATCGTTGTTGTAGCTGTTAAAGCGGCAATTGTTGGCGTTGATCTTTCATCTAAAATCATAGCCTTAAATCTCTGAAGATGTGTACCCGCTGTAGTTGTGATTGTTTTACTCCCATGAACTTTTTGAGCAGCGTCAATGTCATCCTGATGTAACTTTGGTTCAACGTATTTCTTGTTACGTCTGATTTCCTGAAAATAGAAGAATAAAATCCTTCAAAACGAAATCAATGCATTCTCTTTTCTATCATAGATTTAGTGTTAACACATTCGCGAAGACGCGACGATTTTGAGCGTACAGTCGTGTAGTCGTAGTTACTGATAATTTATTTTAACATTCAAAGATAAACTAAACTATTATAGTCATTCGAAAGGTCTAAACCTTCTCTTGAAAACTAGTACAAACCGACCAAGAGCTTTCTGTGAAATAAATGGCCTTCAATACAACGAACACTTTGATTTAAACTTTTTGGTCGGTCCCTTGAGGTTCGTTATACCGAAGTTCGACTGTATATCTATAGTACAATATTATTCACCGTATCATAGAGTTGATACATGATTGCATCGGGATTTGGCAAATGATCGAGCCCGATGGCATGACCGATCTCGTGTACTGCAATGGCGATCAGGTCGAGGAAGCCGCTTCTGAAATGTAAAAAGGTTAATAGAACTGACCTGACTTCTGACTTTAAAATTTGCAAATCAGGCTTACGACCTTGAAGGCTGATGAGAAAAGATTTTTAAAAAACAGAAGCCTTGGGAAGAATACCATTATTGCTCACTCACACAATCTGTCTCTGGTTCCGAAAGGTCCATTGCTTCTCATCATTGAAATGAACAAGACCGAGTTTCTCGGGGTATGGGCATAGACGGGCCTGGATAAGTTGAAGGTGTATGACATAGTTGAGGCTTTCATAAAGAAGCCAGGTCTTGGCGACCTAGTTCTGATAGACCTGGATAGTTGGCTTCCGCACATACGCTGATCCTGTCTAGTTCTGGCCTGACTCTAGAGCCTGGCTGAAACATCCCTGACTGGGATACCTGGGTAGGGTATACCTTGTCTTGAGCTGTGAGCAGTCAAATTCTGCAGTAAGACCTACATTAAGCCGTTCAGTAAGACTACAGAAGAGCAATAAGCCTAGTATCTCTGTCTGTGATAACTGCACTACAAAGCTAAGCATACCATCAGCATCAAATGGATCACATAAATAACCGGGTCGTCTGTGAACGCCTATCTCGAAGCTGGGCTGAAAAGTTTTTGGCTTGAAACCATTAAGCAATATTTACTTTAAGTTTCCCATTTGATGGAACCTCGTGAAATTGCAGAGGAGTCACTTCTTCCCATTTGTCGAAGGCTAAACGAGCAGCGGCTCTGAAAAGAGACGGCTCAATAAACGCCTCAAAATGAAAGGCTCAATAAACGGCTCAAAATGAAAGGCTCAATAAACGGCTCAAAATAAAAGGCTCAATAAACTGTTGTAGTAATAACTAACCCTTGTGTAAAGACTTTCAAGTGCGTTTAGATAAACTATAATTTATCTTTTTTTAAAAACTTAGAAGAAAAACGGGGTCTATCCCAAAACAGCGCCGCCAAAATAGCGCCGACCAAAACAGCGCCACCCAAAATAGCGCCGTACCCAAAACAGCGCCAATGAAAAACGCCCAAAACAGCGCCGATGCAAAACAAAGTTTTTTTCTTTTCCAATGTACACTCATTTTTTTTTATTAGCAGCTTTTAATTTTGATAATTTATTTAAAAATAACATGACCAACAACAATAAACGATAACAATTAAACGATGCATAAAAAACATTAAAATAGCATGAAATTAATAGTCCAAGAGACTCTGAAATATCATAACACTAGCGATGATGAACATAAACGGCTAGAGCTTTCAAGTGATCCGTAGTAGAAAAAAAAAGTTAATGAAAACGTTAAAAAACAGGCCGTAAAAGGAAAAAAATTGTTATTTTTGGTTAAAATCAATTTTATAAACGCTATCGCAGGTTTCTATGGGTAAAGCTTTAAAAAATCGGATTCTCCGCCTTTTTTTTACCCTAAAAACACAAAAAGTGGACAGAAAAAGTTAAAAACAGCAAAGAAAAAGCAAAAGCAAAAATTTAAAAAATAATTTTTTTTGCTCGTCGCTGTTTTGAGCGTTTTTGCATTGGCGCTGTTTTGGGTGGCGCTGTTTTGGGTACGGCGCTGTTTAGGCGGCGCTGCTTTGGGATAGACCCGAAAAACGACTTCGCTAAAAAGAAAAATGATTCCACGAGAGCAAAAAACAAATAACAATATTTATTTCTTTGACTGAATATCTTTAATTACCATAACATAAACGCACTACTTTAAGCAATCATACAACTTTTTAATTGGGGGTAGGCTAGTTTCGGGAGTGGGACAAATGCTACCTTTTTTTCCGCACCTTGCCCATTAGCGCACCTGTTTTCGCGTTTTAAAAAAGCTCTAAAAAGCTAATATTAACCAATTTCTATTCCAAAAGTTGTTTTTCTAGATAATTTGAGGGTGTCGAATTCAAATTTTGACATATCAGAGCTTGTGGAAACAAACGGACGGAGTTATACAAAGAGAAAAAGCGACAATTTTCTGTAATTTGATCTATCTAATCTAATTTGATCCATTTGTCTTTCAAATTGGTTCCACACGCTCTGTTATGTCAAAATTTGAATTCGACACCCTCAAATTACCTAGAAAAACAACATTTGGAATAGAAATTGGTTAATATTCTGATTCTTTGTTGTTTCTATGTGTTGAAAATAAATGAAATTAAAAATCTTTTATGAATTTTTATGGGACAATCTAATATGCCCCACCTGATCTCCTCCTTCGTCACATTCTCACTAAATTTCTCAATCGAATATGTCAAATTCTTGTCTTCAAATCTTCTTTCCCTTTCGAGATCCAATGGCCGGCTATTCATTACGAAATACCGTAGCTTGTTATTCATTATCGGATTCCGTAGAATTTCTTTTACTCCACATCTCGGTTTTTTCATTTCTTTTCTTGTTATCTCATCAAGTAAACCAGTCAACGGAAGATTAAAATTCTTTTGAAATCGCCTGGAAAAGAAGAATTGAGGATGCGCCAGAACAAGGTTGCACAGAATACAGTTACCTGACTACTTTGGTTCAGTTACCAGACTACTTTGATTCAGTTACCTGACTACTTTGGTTCAGTTACCTGACTACTTTGGTTCAGTTGCCCACGTTTCTCAAAGGCTACTAAGTGTATGCAAAAATTCTTCGAGCTGTAGCTGTACTTTGTGCTCTAATTTGGAGACTTTTCTTCCTGGTGCACTCAGCTGTCCTTACTTTTAAAACCCCGTTTTAGTTACTCAATTTTAGCTGCTCCAGCTGCTCCAGGTCCATTTGGGTGTATTTTATGCTCAGATTTGTAAACGCACCCTTTCTGGCACAGCAAATTCTTCATGTTTCTCAAAACAGCAAAGTCTTGTTGTAAGAAAAATGAAGAATTCAGTGCATCAGAAAGGATGCGTTTACAAATGAGCTTGAGCACAAAGTACACCAACTAGTCAGTTTCTCAAAAGTTGGGTAATTGAACCGGGTTTCAAGGTAAGTTGTGGTCTGCCAGAAAAGTTGTGGTCTGCCAGAAAGGGAGCGTCTACAAAAGCTTAAAGTCCACTAACCTAATTGCTTTTCTCGTCATTTCTTCATTATTTTTCACATCTTCTCCATATCCCAAATGATTCTCATAATATCCAAATTGGAAAAGAAAATCTTTCGCAAATCGATCAATTGGAGTTGAGGCTGATACAGGAAAAGCTAAATTTTTAAATTTTATAAGAAAAGTTTTTAAAAAACGAACATTTTACATTTGCTATCAAATATCCAATAGTGAATAGGTGATAAAACATTTTTAAAGAAATAATTTCAATATTTCCCTTGATCTTTATCAATTTCCTGTTTTTCCGGAAAATTTCATGATAAACAAATGCTTTCCAGAATTGTTTATAAACTGGTGAAAGCGTTTTTTTTGAGAACAAATTCTCAACAATTATGTTTTGATGAAGAATTGAGCACTAAAGCACTGCGCGCTAAAGTCAGACCATAATGCTGGTCTTGTATTTCGTTTTTTTCCTTTGCAAACATTAAATTCAATGAAAATTTCTTTAGGCAAAAATTTATCCCAAACAATAAGCACCATCGTTTTCTATAAAATCCCTCCAAAGTTGTGTTGAGATTGCGGACCCGCTTATCGAAGAACTCTTGATTCTATGATTGAAAGAAGTCGGTCACTCAAATCTCGACCTCTTTTGCATTCTTAAACTGGCAATTCACAAGGGAATGTTGCATTGAACTGAAGAGATGAAAATCAGACATATAACAGAAAAGCTCAAGCTAAGTTGATTCAGGCGAATAGAGAGACGGAGCTCCGCGCCGATCGCGTGAAACGGGCCACATGTCTGCAATGGAATGGCGGTGACGCGTGCCGCAAGAAGTGCCAGGGAATGGTCAGCTCGTGCACGGGAAAGCGCTACACCACTGGGCATTGTGAAATGTCGTGGACGGTTGCCACTTGCGTTTGCAAACCGTACTGTGACGTGTGATTTGCCTAGGAAACCTTTATCCACACTTTACACCTATCTTCGCTTGTTTTTCACACACTGTATTACTGTATCATTTCTTGTATAAATTACGGAACTGGGCAGCGTTTTTTGTAAATATATCCCGAGAAGCTTATGCTTTGTAAAACTTTCTGTAAATAGTGCTACTTTTTGAATGATAAATTGTATCGATCTTTGTTTGTTTGTTGTATTCGAAATTTTCGAATTGCTTTTTGGCTTCTATACTTACTTCTAATTGTCGAACAAAACAAAACGTTCAAATGTAACAAAACGATTGTTTGTTTTATTGTTTTGTTTTAATTGTTGTTTTAATTGTTGTTTTAATTGTTTTAAGTGAAGCTACCGTAACTACTGTAGTAGTACCCCACCGCCCTCGTACAGTCGCGTAGTCGCAAAAGTTTTTTAGTATTTAATTTTTTGTCAAAGCGCCCGTACTTTCAAAAAAATGCGTCTTTGGTATCAAAAAATAGCTGAAATTAAGGGCTATTTTTTGATACCCAAGCCCGCTTTGTAGCATAAACCAGTGTCGAGAAAAACTCGTTCAAAGCAAAGACTACGCAACACTCCGCACCGTCATTATGGGGGTGGGGGACTATTACAGTATTTACGGTAAAGGCAATTTTATTCGTGACTTTTATACTCAATACCCAACAATCTCGATTCATTAAAGCCAATCATTTAAAAGAGTTTAAAAACAGCTTTACATTTGAAAAATTTCATCGATTAACAGTTTATTCATCTTGCCAAAGCACATCATGTTTCTGATGCTTCAGAAACTCGTTGATGGAGACTCTTCTTCACCAGTTTCTTCTTTCATTTGCCAAATCAGTTGGCGCAGCTTTTCTGATAGAATCAAAGAAATCTCACGATTGATATCAGCTCTTTGACGCTTTTTTATTGATCATGAAAATGAGCTGGATTAATTGCTGCAAGATTGTTTCCCAAAAATCACTGCTGGGGTTAGATTGAGCTGGCAAAGACGAGAGTTGAGCCTTTCCGCTCGCTGAGGCCGTTCTGGGGCATTGAATCTGTTCTATTGTATCTACAACATTTGAGATCGTTATTGATAGATCCATCAACTTTTGAGTCAACTGGTCAGCTGCGAGAACGTTGTTTTGTTTTAGCACCTGGCTTTCAACCTTTACTCCCAATTCTCCATCTTCCAGCCTTTCAATGATATCATTATCCGTTGAAGCTGTTGATGTAGATAGAGTGACTGAATGCGGAAGACTAATACTACTGTGATTAGAAGATGATGAAGTAGAAACAACAATATCTGGAATCTGGCTCGCCACACCTTTCCTTGTAAGCAATTGTTCAACATCTGACAGCTTTTGAGTCATATTTTCACTGGTTGACATCATTGAGGAGGAATTGGAGTGAGTGGAAAGTGTGACGAATGGAGTAAGACTGATATGGTTGTGACTGGAAGATAAGGAAGAATTTATGGAAGTGGTTGGAAGATCTTCGGATACTGAGGACTTTTCGAATCCTTTTGGAATCTCTGGCTCTAGCATCGCATCAAAATCTAGGTGTTTCATTGAAGTTGGCTCTTGTTTCGCAAATGGTTTAAATTCTCGCTTTGAGTAGTCGCTCACATAGGCCTAAATTTGGTTTTATCAGACTTCTAGAAAGATTTTCTCGTTTGCTCAAGCTCAAGTCAGTTCCTGATTTGATAGTGAGCCGGAAAATCTCCTCTGAAACAAGTATCTGTTAGAGTAATGACTATTCTTGATTCCTGCGCTATGGTTGATATAAATCTGCATAAGTTTTAGTAATTACACTTGAAAATTAGTTCACTGAATTCTACCTACCTATGTGCAAAGCTATAATAAAGCCTTACCACTTGAATGGACAACAAATCCTCGTGGATCTCACTCGCTACCGGTCGACGGGTCACATTTTGAATCAAACACCTAATCGGGCCATTTATTGCCAACTTTGGTCTCTTACTTTCTCACAATGCCCGCAAATGGATGATCAGTTTCTAGTTTTGGTGGTTTCAGTTCCCATTTTCGACTCAATTCTTCCAATCTTCCTTGCCCTGATTCCTTTTTGAAACAGTGTCTAAAATGGGATCAATAAAATCGAAAATGATTAGAGGTTTTATTTTTCCTGACGCAACGCAATTCTGATCAGGTCAGAATGACCTAGTATGTACCAGAAAATCGAACCAAAGAGCGCCACGTCATGGCGGCGCCACGAATTCCAAATCTTATGCAATTTTTTTTGCAATTCTTCAAGAAAAGTACTGTAACAGCTAGTTTTAAGGCTATTTAGAAAATCTTTTTCTATAAAATCTCTTTTTTATCTTAGCTTAATCTCTTTAGTTAATTTGAGACCAACTTTCTAGCGAACATCTCCCACATAACCACACCGGTTGACCAGACATCATTGCGTCGACTATTCTAAGTATTTAATATAAGTCAATAAACTAAAATTTCCTGTAAAATGTGTAATTAGATGTGTATTAGACGTGACGGAGTCCATTCTGATCCAATCCATTCCAATACTTATGGGATAACTGGTGACTAGGAATGGGCTAGCGTTGAGACAACGTTAGTACCCAAAAGAAAAATGGTGTAAAGAAGAGTTTACCTAGTCTATTATTACTGGCTTTTCATGTTAATCAGAAGCTGCTATCAAATGTAAGTACCAGCTGTAAGTACCAGCTGTAAGTACCAACTGTAAGTATCAACTGTAAGTACCAATTGCAAGTACCAGCTGTAAGTACCAACTGTAAGTACCAACTGTAAGTATCAACTGTAAGTATCAACTGTAAGTACCCAAACATCACTCACAAATCTCTTTTTCCACAACTCGGGCGCTCGGTACCGTTCAGTGCCTTGTTGTCTCTCCGTGCAACCTGACTCTTCCTCGATTCGCGTTAAATCGAAATCCCCAAGTTTGATGCGAAAATCAATAGTCAAAAATAAACTGTAATGGGGACAGTTTTTCATAATAAATAGGAATAGCTTTTCAAACTTTGCTGGTTTAACATCTCCATGTCGGATATTCTTTGAGTGCATAAAGGTAAGGCCTTCAAAAGTATCAATCGACCATTCAATCACCGTGTGATCGGTGAAGCTGTAGTTTGGATTGAAGATTACTAAAGTTTTTTTAAAGCAAGTTTGTCAGCATAAGCCAGCCATCAGCATAAGCCAGCCATCAGCTTAAGCCAGCCAAACTAACCTTCATCTAATGATCCATTCGGCAAATATTCAAGAACAATCACTCGATAGTGATTGTGATTCTCTTGATGTTCAAAGTCGCCTTTGAATTCGACGATGTTTTTGTGAATCAGCATCTTCAATGTCTTCAATTCTTGCGTAACAGCGGCAAGATTTTGTTTAGACATTAGAGGATCGATTCCGTTGATCACAAAGCATTTCATAGCAATTTGGCTGAATTGGATTTACAATGAAAGGCAGATTATGAAGCGAAGTAGTTAAAAAACATTCATTCATTCATTTCAAACAGCTCACCATTCAGGATTCACTTGAATAAATCGATACTTTTGATTGCCACACGTTGTTGGCACTTTAAAGCCATCTTTGAAGTTCATTTTCTATATATTATTGTATATTTTCAGTGGATCGAAAAGGAAATTTCAGAAAATTTCGGAACGAAACGAAATTGGCAGAAGTTTTTGAAGCTAGCAAGCGTTTTTCTTATCACAAAACTTGCAAAAGGTTAATTCAGCAAAATGAGACAAAATTGTGTGTAGACATAAAAATTCTAAACACTTCCGCTCATTATAGTTTCAATAACAGTCTAGTTACGTTTTCTTAGATACCAAACAGACTTTGTAACCTCACAAGCCGCATAAATAAACTATGAACTTTGCAATCTTGTACCTGTGTATCTGTGTTTCTTAAAACTGAATTGAAATCCAAAAATGATTCAATGAGTACAACACAATTCTTCTAAGCGTTAAAGACTCCAAATCTATCAACTTTTACCTTCTAAAGTTGTCCTCACCGTCTTCACAAGTGTTCAATGCTTGTCCCATTGCTGTGTTATTTCCAAGTTCCAGTCCAATATGGCTCACATGTCTCCGACAAGCCTGAATTTTGAAGATAAGGATTTTTTTTGAGCTGCAAACTGTATAGTTCAAACACTTGTATCCAGTTTTAAGTAAAGGCAAGCATCTTTGTTCAATCGGGTTTGGTAAGGACAACTGTAGACGATAAAAGTTGATAGATTTGAAGTCTTTAACGTTTAGAAGAATTAGATCACAGATATCTTAAACATTGAATTGATATTGTCATAATTAGCTACAGTAGTTCTTACCATTGGAACTAGTAGAGCTATTTAAGCCAACTTCACGAGACCAAATACTTTTTAAATCACTTAAAAGTGGAATTGAGTACGTTAGAGCCAATGAATCGTAAAAGTTTTCGGCGCTATTAAGGTTCGGGGGCACTTTTTTTTCTTCAAAACCACTTTTTCTGAGGTAGAAAGGGAAATGGAGTGTAGCTGAATGCACGGCAACCAGGCTCTGCTACTGCTCGTATTATGAAGCCATCGATGATAATTTTGCCCAGCCGGTTGAATCTACTCGAAAATCACTCAGTTGTGCAGGTTTGGGAGAGATCCCTTGAGAAGATCCTAGTTTATACCGTTAAACCGAAACCGGTGCAATGGCTGAAGATTGAGATTGATTTGGAAGTGATTTGAGAATTCAAATCGATATGCAAACAGCCTTGTTTCTTGTGTGTTTTATCAATTCTTGATGTTTTATTACTCTCCATGCTTTATATTTGTACAGATGGCTTGAAATCAAACGACTAATTTTCTTTAGCACTTTGTATAGCTAATGACTGAAGCTGAAGGAGTGCCAGTTCCCGATCCGACAAATCCAGAATCTTGATAAGTTGCTGATGGTCGAATCTTCACCCAAGGAGGCAAAACCCAGGCACTGCCGTTTCGATCAAAGTTCCAGTGATTGTCCCTGTTGAGCTGTAAAGAAGTTGATAAAGCTATGGCTTCTGAATTCTTCAAATCTTGGCTTTAAAACACTTACCCCATTTAAATTGAGCTGGAAAGTGGCTCCACAGATCGCATGAGAGCCAGTGTTTTGGAAAACCAATTTATATTGAGCTCCGTTACCCCAAGAGTTGACTGATACGACTGAGACGAGGAGACCAGATGAGCCATTTTTACGACGAGGAGTTGTATTCGGTCGATTGGTTTGAGGAGGCGATGTTTGTCGTGGGTTCGAGACACCGGAGCAAGCAATTCCTAAATTCCAATTCACTTGCAAGATTTTCTGATTAGCCAACCATTTTCTTGATCTCTCATTCTGTTCTTTACGAATCGCCCGGAAGTGGTTAGACGAGAGTCATCTCCGACTTGCTGTGTTGTGGTTCCCGGTTTAAGAGCTGCAGATCCTTCAGCTTTGTTCGAAATAGCCCAGTTGACATAGGAAATTTTGTTGTCCTCCAAGAAAGTGTACCAATCATTGGATGATTGTTGATCAACTTGGCCATCACCAGTATGTTCCACCGTTCCGTGTTCAGTGACAAAGATTGGAAGTCCCTACAATGATCAACTTTGTTGAAAGCAATTAGTTTGCTTGATTACCTGGTTCAACGCCGTCTGAGCTTTATCCCTCAAGTATTGCTTATGTGTGGCAGCATAGTAGTGAAGAGTGTACATCAAATTGCTTCCACTCAATGGATTACCAGCAGCCACATCAACATCCTAATCGCTTTTAGTATTGGACTTTTACTCTCTCTACCTGTGACCATGTTGGTGTTCCCAAAATGATAACATTTTTTTGATCATTTGCCCGGATTGCGTTGACAACTTGTTGATGATAAGGCTTGATGACAGTCGTCCAATCAACTTGTAGAGGTTCGTTGAAAGTCTCGTAGATGACATTTGGATAGGAGGCGTATTTTTGGGAAACGGCTGAGAAGAAAGAGACTGCTGCGCTGGCCTGGTTCTAGAATTGCAAGAGTAACTTTTCTGGCAAAACAAGTCCAAGGCCAGACCTGGCTTTAGTACACCCAGATCTGAAATGAAGTCAACCCTCGGACTTGGGTTGACTTTGCTTCGGGCCCGGAGCACAAGAAACTGGATCCGAGGTCTCCCTGGCTTCAGGCTTGACCTGGAAAGTCAGATCTGGACCTGGCTTCAGGCTGAGCTCTTACCTGGAACTTTAGGGTCTAACAGTTGAACTAACTTGTGCATTGTGATCATGCCAATCAATGATCACATAGATTCCCGCATCAATTGCGGCATCCACAACTGCGTAGAGCTTGGCCAGTTCAGCCTTTCGTGTGGTCGGATTATTCAAGTAGCCGCCCTGTTTCGCTTCGACACCCATCGCCGCACGGACGACATTCGCGTTCCAAGAGCATTTCAAAGCCTGAAACGGATGGATAATCGATACGCCAAAAGTCTAATACTTGAATAGTATCATTATTGTAGAAAGTGGATCCCTCAGTCCATTGAGACCAGAAAAGGGACATTCCATGTAGTGCGACTTTTTGTCCATTTGCACCGACAAGGTTTTTGCCTAGAATTGGAGAGTTTATGGTAGGCAGCAAAAGAGCTTAGGGTAGTCTTTTCCCGGTAGACTTTGCAAAAGCCTAGCTATTGTACTATTTAGTTGGCAAATAATTCTTTTCGTTCCTTTTCGTGCTTCTGTTTAAAACCAACAAAGACATTAGTTGAACTACGGTTTATTTCCTTAAAAAGATCAATTATTCTTCTGCAAAGTTACATTAAAACGGGTATAAAGAGTCTTATATCTAGTCCGTTTGTTGGTAAAAACTGTTTGAGAATCTAAATCTATCCGTATTATTCCAAGATTGCTAATATACTTTCAGCTACCTCATTTGTTTAAGTAGCTTTCAACTTTCGAATAAAGTAATCAAAGTCATTAAACATTAATCATTAATCGTTAATCTTAATCAAAGTCAAAGCATGAAGCTTTAGTTCCAACTCTTGAATGCCGTTTACTTTACCTTATTCCCTTTTGAGATTATTTCGGAAGCTGTGAAACTAATCTATCGATGGCTATCTATTTTCTATTGCCTATCACCCTAAGATTGTTTATTGTAAACTTTCAGCTTTTAATTGGTAAACTTAAATGCCGAATTTGGTATCAAATTGGTATCAATTGGCATCGAAAACTTGCCTACAACTGAGAGTTGACCGTATGGAGGAGCGGCGGCTTGTAGCCCGATCGCGAACACATACAAGAGGCACTTGGAAAGCATCTAAAAAAATCAAATTCGATTTGCTAAGGATTGAAAAAAGAAAGATTTCAAATAAAATCCATAGTTGAATCTAACGAAAAACAAGTGATCGAAAGATTTCTGACTGAAGAAGACCAAAATTTGTCTTAAATATCAGACATTGGGCACAAAGTTTTTTTCCAAAATTACACAAAATTTGTTTGTGTGAAAGTAAAGCAAAAATTACATTTTGACAAGAAAAAAAGAGGGAAAAAAGAAGAAAAGAAGAAGAAACGAAGAAAAACGAACGAAAATTAAAATTGAAAGAAAGGATGGACTTATCAGTCGATCATTTCTTTTTTCACTCAAAAAGCTACATTCATTTTGTTTAATTCTTCGTTCTAATCATGACTATGCGGTTCTTAGGCTTTACGCTAAAGGAGATCAGTAATGGGCGATTCGGAAAAGCTTTTGAAATTGTTGGGCATGAACCGTGGGTTTTGTTTAACAATACATAGTCACTGAACAATAAGAATCTTTTTAGCCCAGCAGTCATCAAAATTATGAACTGCTGCAGTGAGAAGAATCTATCGATTTTCACAAAAGAATGTGGAATTCTGGAGAAATTGAGTCATCCAAATATCATTCAAATGCTAAGTCGAAAGATTTCTGACTGAAGAAGACCAAAATTTGTCTTAAATATCAGACACTGGGCACAAAGTTTTTTTCCAAAATTACACAAAATTTGTTTGTGTGAAAGTAAAGCAAAAGTTACACTTTGACAAGAAAAAAAGAGGGAAAAGAAGTAAAACGAACGAACTTTGTTTCTCATTTGACTTTAGAGACAATTTAGAGTCAACTGACCCTTAAGTAGTCGATTTCATCTCAAAATGTTTACCTAGACGCTTCCACCGTTCACGGACAAAGATTGGAAGTCCCCACAATGATCAACTTTGTGGAAAGCATTTGGTTTGCTTGATTACCTGGTTCAACGCTGTCTGAGCTTTATCCCTCAAGTCTTGCTTATGTGTGGCGGCATAGTAGTGAAGAGTGTACATCAGCCTAAATGTTTACCCTACTGTTTACCCTACTGTCAAAAATTTTTAACAATTTTGAAGTTTTCATATTCAAAAATTGTCTCAAAAAAGAGATATTTCTCTAAACGAGTGAGATTGAGCGGGCAAAGACAAGAGTTGAGCCTTTCCGCTCGCTGAGGCCGTTCTGGGGCATTGAATCTGTTCTATTGTATCTACAACATTTGAGATCGTTATTGATAGATCCATCAACTTTTGAGTCAACTGGTCAGCTGCGAGAACGTTGTTTTGTTTTAGCACCTGGCTTTCAACCTTTGTTCCCAATTCCCCATATTCCAGCCTTTCAATGATATCATTATCTGTTGAAGCTGTTGAAGTAGATAGAGTGACTGAATGCGGAAGACTAATACTACTGTGATTAGATGATGATGCGGTAGAAACAACAATTTCTGGAATCTGGCTCGCCACACCTTTCCTTGTAAGCAATTGCTCAACATCTGACAGATTTTGAGTCATATTTTCACTGCTTGACATTATTGAGGAGGAATTGGAGTGAGAGGAAAGTGTGACGAATGGAGTAAGACTGATATGGTTGTGACTGGAAGATAAGGAAGAATTTATGGAAGTGGTTGGAAGATCTTCGGATACTGAGGACTTTTCGAATCCTTTTGGAATCTCTGGCTCTAGCATCGCATCAAAATCTAGGTGTTTCATTGAATTCAGTTCTTGTTTCAGAGATGGTTTAAATTCACGCTTTGAGTAGGCCTAAATTTGGTTTTATCAGAAATATGTAGCTATGTGTATTTAAAATATGTAGCTAGATGTGTATTAAACGTGACCGAGTCCATTCTGATCCAATCCATTCCAGTACTTATGGGATAATTGGTGACTAAAACTGGGCTAGACAACGTTAGGGTACTAACGGTACTTTTGGGTACTAACGTTGAGATAACGTTAGTACCTACAAATGGTGTAAAGAAGAGTTTACCTAGTCTATTATGGCTGGCTTTTGATGTTAATCAGAAGCTGCAAGTACAAGCAAGCATTTGAAATAAGCGAGAAGATCCAATCGTGCATATGGTTGTCTCCAACTTCTTGTCGCACAATAAACTCGGCTAAATAGCTTGAAAGGAAGTGCCTGGCAGTGTGCTCTGTGCTTTTTGTTCCTTCACTTCGCAGAACCCCAGAGACGCCCAGAAAACTACCGGCCGTTATGAGAAATGGGCCCACATAACAGAAAAGTACCGAAAGAGCTAATAGAAAGAGGAATAGTTTAGAATTTATTGTTTTGAGAACTAAAATCATGAATTTGATGTTGAAGTCGAGAATTTTGCATGCCAAGTATGAGATTCTGCGCGCTTTGTGGTAAAATAGATTTCTTTATTCTTTTAGATCAAAAATTCGATTAAAATATTCCTAAATTCTTTTAGAAAATGCATGCAGAGTCTCCAATAGAATTTTCTGATCTCGAGCGTTTTTCTTGGTGAGATCATTGGCGGCAATCTCGTTTTTCGGGAGCTTCTTCTAAAAGGTGTTGTTTGTAAGAAAATTGTAAAACTTTAAAGTTGAAATATGATTCTTTCGATTGTCAATTGAGTCATATTTCAATTACAAACCTCCATCACTTGCAGATACGGTGAATTGAGGCACTCATTGGCGCTGAAACGATCGTGGGGATTGACAATGAAGATCGATTTGAGAAGGGATCGAAGATCGTTTCCTGAATTCATTCATTTAGGGCACAGTCACACCAGTGCCCTAAATAATTTATGAATCTTTGAATTGATTTAGGTAATTATTAGGCTGAGGAAAAAGTAATGTCGGTTTTTGTCACAAAACTGTTTATTGCTAAAAACATAAACAAACGCACATCAATCAATGAGATATTCTCCATTATGATTGATGATTTGTTCTCATGTTCGTCCCAAGTCCCTGATCCCATCCTCAAAAAAATGGGGAGTTTTCGAGCCAAAATAAGTGTCGACTGCTTTTTTTGATCTGTGCATGAGTCTCGAACTTTTCTTCCATAAGAAAACTCTTCAACGACCGAAACAAAAAATAATTTGATGGAGCCTGGTCCGGCCTATAAGTCGCGTGGGGCGGAAGTTTTCAATCAAGCTCGTCGATTTTTTGGTGAGTGATTTTTTGCATTTTGAGGTTTTGCATTATCATGCAAAAATAGCAATTCTGATGTTTCAACGCCGAATTTCTTTAAAGCCTCGTTAAATCTCATCAACTTTTTTGAATAAAGATCAGCGGTAACAGTTTCGAGTGGTAACGGTTGGATTGAGTTCAATGGCACCAAGCAAATCCGGATCTGAAATCTCTTGCGGTCGTCCAGGCCGTTCCTCGTCTTGGAGACTTTCATCTCCATTTTGGAACCGCTGCAACCATCTTTGGCATTTTCTTTCGCTAATGCTGTCTTCCCCAAAAACGTCAATGATTGTCCGATGCGATTCAGCGGCATATTTCCCTTGTTTAAAATTATACCACAAAGCGGCTCGAAGTCTAAACTTCGAGAAATTTGTAAAAATGTGTAAAAGTCAAATATAAGACGAAAGTATAGAGTGTCTAGCTGAAATCTATTTTAGAAAAATCGCTAACAACGGGAATTCAAAACCGACATTACTTTTTCCTCAACCTAATAGTAAAGTGTTATAAAAGATCAATAAAAGATTGAAAAGAATGCTGATGAAGAGAGCTTTGCTGTCGGATCTCGTTTCTTACTTGTCAGTCCAACTCTGTTCTCATTCTCGAGTCTCTCGAAAGCTTTGTCGAGTTCTTGATCGAGAATCGCTTTCTTTGGCGTTTCACAGCTCAATTGGTCACCAAAGCTGAATCTTTCAGGTCACAACAACTAACAGAATACTCACATTGATTGATATTTGTCTTCATCAATCCCAACAACATTCAAGATTCGGCTTTTGACAGGGAAGAGACTTCGTTTCTAAGATAATGAAAAGTTAAACTTTTGATTTGATTTCACCTGGTCCTCTCTAGTTGGATTCATTAATTTCATGCCCAACATCTCCACTCCGATCAAGCCAGCCGCCCAGATATCAACTCCATGATCATATCTCGCATTCAAGATTTTTTCGAGTGGCTGATATAATGGAGTTGACTGCAATCCTTCTGTGAGCTCCTTTTGTCTATTCATGAAGCTAAAATAAGAAAATATTTGTAAATTAAATGTTTCAAACCCAGATACACCAAAATCCAATAGTTTGATCCGGAAATCTTTCTTGTTAAGGCCAATGTTTGATGACGACAAATCCTGAAAATGATTGAGTAATATGAATAGACAGGATTATTCAAAGGCAGATAGCTAGAAAGTGACATGGCGTGGCTTTACTGCCGGTTGAATCTACAAAAATCTTAGTACAAGACTGTAGAGACTTCTTTGACCACTGGAATCTAGGGCTGGACTGATCTGGCCTGGATTAGCCTGCTTGGGCTTAGCCTACTTGGGCCTGGTCTACTTGGGCCTGGTCTACTTGGGCCTGGTCTACTTGGGCCTGGTCTACTTGGGCCTGGTCTACTTGGCCTGTTTGGGCTTAGCCTGTTTGGGCTTAGCCTGTTTGGGCTTAGCCTGTTTGGGCTTAGCCTGTTTGGGCTTAGCCTGTTTGGGCTTAGCCTGTTTGGGCTTAGCCTGTTTGGGCTTAGCCTGTTTGGGCTTAGCCTGTTTGGGCTTAGCCTGTTTGGGCTTAGCCTGTTTGGGCTTAGCCTGTTTGGGCTTAGCCTGTTTGGGCTTAGCCTGTTTGGGCTTAGCCTGTTTGGGCTTAGCCTGTTTGGGCTTAGCCTGTTTGGGCTTAGCCTGTTTGGGCTTAGCCTGTTTGGGCTTAGCCTGTTTGGGCTTAGCCTGTTTGGGCTTAGCCTGTTTGGGCTTAGCCTGTTTGGGCTTAGCCTGTTTGGGCTTAGCCTGTTTGGGCTTAGCCTGTTTGGGCTTAGCCTGTTTGGGCTTAGCCTGTTTGGGCTTAGCCTGTTTGGGCTTAGCCTGTTTGGGCTTAG